ATTATTTATCAGCTTTAATGTGTATCGACAATAAATTATTACCCGGCCAATAACAATAACATTAAAAATGAACATATATCGGCTGGTAGGCCGATACCGATATGGTGGCCGATATATATAAGCATCCCTAATTTAAGTAATTCATACGCAGAATAAAGAGGCGGGGCCTGGTTGAGTTAGTTAGTAGTGTGTTAAACTGGCGATTATGGAAAGGGGCGGGACATTTCCCAAACACAACCAATCACAACACACTGCTCCAGCGGGAGTTATTCTCTATATTACGGATGCACCGATATGAACATTTTGGCCAAAACCGATAACCAATAATTCTTTGTATTTGAAGGATGATAACCGGTATATTGGCCGATGAATGTAAATCTACATTTTTTAAATAGTTTTTGAGAGCCTGATTAAAAATCAAAAGTATCTATTATATGTTCTCATTATAATTGTATTTAGCCGATATGACACATTTGAGGTGCAGTGAACCGTATCGAACTGCATTCAAGCAAATCAAAACCATTGAATGACGTGTCTCAGCTGAAGGAGATAGTCCATTATTTATCAGCTTTAATGTGTATCGACAAAAAATTATTACCCGGCCAATAACAATAACATTAAAAATGAACATATATCGGCTGATAGTCCGATACCGATATGGTGGCCGATATATATAAGCAAGCATCCCTAATTTAAGTAATTCATACGCAGAATAAAGGGGCGGGGCCTGGGTAGTGTGTTAAACTGGCGATTATGGAAAGGGGCGGGACATTTCGACCAATCGACCAATTGATTGACCAATTGACCAATCGACATTTCGACCAGCCGACCAATTGGAGCACAGTGTGCTTTTCAGAAGGAGGGGCTTCATAGAGACAGGAAGTGAACAGGGGTGTGTTTCCCGTACAGTGACGCAAATTTCTGCTTCAGTTGAATAAATCCGACTGTTTCCCTGTAACTGTATTGTCGTGAACTGATCGTTCAACCACATTGGTTAAGGATATCATGAACTTGGTGGAGTAATAACTCTTTTAACGAATCATTTGAGAGCGAATTAATGCTCGATGTTTTCCTATAAATTTGTCCTGTTCGAACTCGTTTATCAAAATGAACAAATCGTTTTTTTGTGTCATTTGGTTCATTCAAGGAACGAAATGAATGAGCTGACTCGGAAAAACATTTCGGACAGGAGAGTCACGAACGCGCATCACAGAACAGAGCAAGGCGAGCATTTGAGCTTATAAAACTTAAACTTTGTTATTTATTTATTAAATGAGCGATCGTTTCGCTTGATAAGACCCTTATTCATCATCTGGAATCGTTTAAAGCCCTTTGAACAGTTTGCACTGAAACTCTCATTTGGACCTTGAACCGTTTGGTCCCCATTGAAGTCCATTATATGGAGAAAAATCTTGAAATGTTTTCATCAAAAACCTTAACTTCGTTTTGACGGAGGAAAGAAAGACATGGACATCTTGGATGACATGGGGGCGAGTAAATTATCAGCAAAAGTTTTATCAAAAGTGAACTACTCCTTTAAATCTCTTGACAAACTCATTTAGTCGTAAATGACATTAGTGTGTGTTGTGTTGCACTGAATGTCAGTTTGCTGATTTGCATCAGTTTGGACTGATGAGAAAGACAGAACTTGCAACCATAGTTGGCTAACGATGCTTTCGGGAAACCAGAGCGTTACTGACAGACTGGGAAGAGAGGGGCAAGTGAACTCCAAAACAACATCAGGCATTATAGGTCCTCCTCAGTGTTGTGTTTCTCTCTCCTAGAAGTTGGTGAAACGATTCCCCTCTGGAGTCAAAGACAAGGGCGAGTTCATAACCGAGAGCTGGGGTGCGTTTATCGTCTCGTAAAGCCTGACAGGGTGGTCAGCTTTATTCTGGATGCGCTGGCAGTTTCAGCCGTTCGCCTGTCAGGCGCTGAGAGCAGCCGATGCCGAAGGAATCACAAGTGTGTGTTTGCTCTGAGCGTCGCATCGGAGCCGATCTGTGTGTGTGTGTTTCTGTCAGCGCACCGACAGGGACAAGATGCACGGAGAGCAAAATGAAGGGATTTGTTCCTTGTTTTATTAATAATGAGACGCCGCTCAGGGCTGAAGTGACAGCGACGTCTCATTTCTTCCACAACGGACTCCCGGCGCGCATCGACTCTCTGTCGTGTTTTTAATTAACTGCTGCAGTGAAGTTAATTCATGCACAGAGCTCGTCACTGGTCACTGAAACTGCACTAATGAACTGATTTCATAAACAGTCCTGAAAGAAAGAAGTGATTCTGAACTGAAACGAGTCGTCGGTAATTCAGTCGCACTTCCTGCTGTAGGTTTGTGCCTCATTTGCATAATGCCAGCCTGTGGTCCTGATTGGCTGAGCAGTGTCTCTTAGCTCCGCCCTCTAACACTGTAGTGTCTCTGAGACTGGAAGAGTTCGGCTCGTGTTGTTTTCTGAGATCGATACGGTAAAACACACGCCATCGTCACTGTTCGTATCACTGTGATCAAGAGCTGAGAGACCGATATGATAATGAGCTCTCAGAGAGGCGGGGCTTAGAGAGCCTGAATCCTCGATGGAAGCGTTTCAGACACTGAGAGGAAAGAGCTGAATATTAGTGTGTGTTTGACCTTGGATGCATGTGAACCTGTTATGAGACCTTTAAAACTATAGTAAGAACCTTTAAAAGAGCATAATAGGGGCGCTTTAATAACTTGGTATGACATATCTAGCTGTATTCATGCTCTCTCTGTTATGATATGGATCCGCTTCTCCTGTAAACGAGTGGGACGTTCCCGGGAATAGATTTGCTGTCACTGGATGGCTGCGCTTGGACAAGATTACGTCCAGGAAAGATGCATTAATAGAGAGAGAAAGAGAAAAGTGCATTTGCTTTACACCGTTTATTGTCTTTGAATAACACTCCAGACAAGATCTGACACGTCTGTAATGAACGCAACATATGGAGGTGCTAGTGTGTGTGTGTGTGTGTGTGTGTGTGTGTGTGTGTCTATTAAGGAGTCATATAATATGGAAAAATAATACACAAAGACTTCTCTTTACTAGGAGTCAAATCTGTTCACCTCACTCATCAGTGTTTTATGAGTTAGTTAACCCTTTAAATCTGTTGTTTTAAAAACCTTTAGACATAAACTAATCATTTTGCATTTGTGTTGATTACTCATATTTGATGGCTTATATAGTCTGAAATACTGAGAATATGAAGGAAAACAAACAACAAAAAACAAAACAAACTCTAGATAGGCCTCATGAATCTCTCTCTCTGTGTGTGTGTGTGTGTGTGTGTGTGTGTGTGTGTGTGACAGAAGCAGAGACCTGAACACACTGCATTGCTGCTGTTTGTTTCCTTTCCTGTTTCCGTTTCTAAGTATGTGTGTGTTTTCCCTGCTGACCTGATCCTGCTTCACTGACACTCCTCTCTTCTCTCCTCTGTTCTCCTCTTCTCTCCTCTGTTCTCCTCTTCTCTCATTTTCCCTCCTCTTTTCTGCTCTGTTCTCCTCTTCTCTCCTTTTTTCTCCTCTTCTCTCCTCTGTTCTCCTCCCCTCTCCTCTTCTCTCATCTGTTCTCCTCTGTTCTCCTCTCCTCTTTTCTCCTCTGTTCTCCTCTTTCCTCCTCTCATCTGTTCTCCTCTTTCCTCCTCTCCTCTCCTCTTTCCTCCTCTCCTCTCCTCTTTCCTCCTCTCCTCTCCTCTTTCCTTCTCTGTTCTCCTCTTCCCTCCTCTGTTCTCCTCTTTCCTCCTCTGTTCTCCTCTTCTCTCCTCTCCTCTCCTCTTTCCTTCTCTCCTCTCCTCTTTCCTCCTCTGTTCTCCTCTGTTCTCCTCTTCTCTTGTCTTCTCTCCTCTCCTCTTTCCTCCTCTGTTCTCCTCTTCTCTCCTCTCCTCCTCTCTTCTCTCCTCTTTACTCCTCTGTTCTCCTCTTCTCTCCTCTGTTCTCCTCTTCTCTCCTCTCCTCTCCTCTGTTCTCCTCTTCTCTCCTCTGTTCTCCTCTTTCCTCCTCTCCTCTCCTCTCCTCTCCTCCTCTCTTCTCTCCTCTTTCCTCCTCTGTTCTCCTCTTCTCTCCTCTGTTCTCCTCTTCTCTCCTCTCATCTCCTCTCCTCTGTTCTCCTCTTCTCTCCTCTGTTCTCCTCTTCTCTCCTCTTTCCTCCTCTGTTCTCCTCTCCTCTCCTCTTTCCTCCTCTGTTCTCCTCTTTTCTCCTCTGTTCTCATCTGTTCTCATCTTTCCTCCTCTTTCCTCCTCTTTTCTCCTCTTTCCTCCTCTGTTCTCCTCTGTTCTCATCTGTTCTCCTCTTTTCTCCTCTTTCCTCCTCTTTCCTCCTCTCCTCTCCTCTTTCCTCCTCTGTTCTCCTCTTTTCTCCTCTGTTCTCATCTGTTCTCCTCTATTCTCCTCTGTTCTCCTCTTTTCTCCTCTTTCCTCCTCTGTTCTCCTCTTTCCTCCTCTGTTCTCCTCTTTCCTCCTCTGTTCTCCTCTTTTCTCCTCTGTTCTCATCTGTTCTCCTCTATTCTCCTCTGCTCTCCTCTTTTCTCCTCTTTCCTCCTCTGTTCTCCTCTTTCCTCCTCTGTTCTCCTCTTCTCTCCTCTCCTCTTTCCTCCTCTCCTCTTTCCTCCTCTGTTCTCCTCTATTCTCCTCTGTTCTCTCCTTCTCTCCTCTCCTCTTTCCTCCTCTGTTCTCCTCTTTCCTCCTCTGTTCTCCTCTATTCTCTCTGTTCTCCTCTTCTCTCCTCTCCTCTTTCCTTCTCTCCTCTCATCTTTCCTTCTCTCCTCTCCTCTTTCCTTCTCTCCTCTCCTCTTTCCTTCTCTCCTCTCCTCTTTCCTTCTCTCCTCTCCTCTTTCCTTCTCTCCTCTCATCTTTCCTTCTCTCCTCTCCTCTTTCCTTCTCTCCTCTCCTCTTTCCTCATCTGTTCTCCTCTTTCCTCCTCTGTTCTCCTCTATTCTCCTCTTTTCTCCTCTGTTCTCCTCTGTTCTCCTCTGGTTCTCTGCAGTGGAGATTAAGGTGATAAAGGACCTGCCGTGGCCTCCTCCGGTCGGGCAGCTCAACACCAGTCCTCCTGTAATGGAGTTGGTGGAGTCTCCATCCTCCCCGGGTCTCAGAGATACAGTGAACGCCTGTGACCAGCTCACGAACGGTGGGTCTGACCCTTGACCTCTGACTCTCGACCTCTGACCCGACCCGCTCATCATCACTGTCCTTCACCAGACACACACGGCATGGGTTTATTTCAGGTAGTCTAATAGCTGGTGTGATTTGCTCTGAGAGATGATCGTATGGAAACACCCCATGGTGAACTACTCCTTTAAGCATTTGGCAGACACTTTTACCCAAAACACACATTTACATTGTTATCAGTTCTTGCTTTGCCTTGAAATCGAACCCATGACCTTGGCGTTGCAGGCACCGCCGCTCTACTGTTTGAGCTTTAGCAAAGCTTCATCTGAAGAGCTTTTCAACACATGCAGCACATATGCTCAGATAAAGTTAATGAGCTGCGGTCAGAGTCGAGTGTCTTTCTGCCGAAACCGTCCAAATTAAGCATTAGCTTCCACCGAAGCAGAAAATCACCGCCGGCTCCAGTCCTGACAACACCTCACCGGCTTTATAGACCCACACCGACACGCAGAACAGCCGCTGAGACGCTGTTTAGTGCCTCACTTCACAGTTTACCACCTGTGTGTGTGTGTGTGTGACCCAATCACCACGTTCCCATCTCATCCATTCGACAGAGACGTGTGGAGAAGCGATTGTTCCCTGGAGATTACAGATGTGCAGATCCTCAGGCTCAGACTATCAGATAACCAGAAGTCAGACTCCTGGAAGGCTTACGCTCACTCGATCTGTGTGTGTATCAGGGTGACACAATAAAACCAAAAAAATGCTTAAAAGTGGGATTGTGTGTCAGTCACGAACTCGATCCAAATCCAGATTTATGTGCGAGACGGGATGGTTTTCTGGCACTGTGTGTGTGTGTGGATTTAAGCATGTCGGGCGGCTGTAAATTAGCCTGGATTGATCCGGGTTTTTCCTCCGGAGATTAGCCGTAAGATGATCCCGTCACTCCAGTTCCTCACAGGAATGAACCGGTTAAAGGCTCGGTTCAGGAACTCGACGGCGAACGCTGATTCCTGGATGTGCCGGAGCTCAAATTCACATCCGGAAACTATTAAAATCACTTCAAGCGCTGCTTTAAACACGAAGAGCTTCTTTTACACTTACAGCCAAACCAAAGATTAGCTAGTAGACATCAGATCATGTGTTCCTCTAGTGTGATCAGGACACTATAGTTGATTTCTGTGAGTGAGGAGAGCAGAATAAAGCAAACGGACATATTACACCCAATAACTCTTCAGATTTATCAAATTGAGCTGATGATGTTTTGCTCTTTTTACACACACACTGAACAACATGAAGCATTGCTTGGTCACTGGTTGAGCTAAACTGGTATTATCTAATAGTGGAGTTCAATTGAACAGATATTCAACATAATTCATGTGTGAGAGTCCAACAGAAGGACGGACTAAACCAGTCAAACATCCACTGATCTGAGACCTGAGATCTGTCATATTTATACACTAGAGCCCAGTGTTGTAGTCGAGACCACCTCACTCGAGTCCGAGTCAACACCGAGACCAGAGAGAGTTGAGTCCGAGTCGACACCGAGACCAGAGAGAGTCGAGTCCGAGTCAAGACCGAGTCCATAGAGAGTTGAGTCCGAGTCGAGACCGAGACCAGAGACGGTCGAGTCCGATTCGAGTCCGAGACCAGAGAGAGTCGAGTCCGAGTCGAGTCCGAGACCAGAGAGAGTCGAGTCCGAGTCGAGTCCGAGACCAGAGACGGTCGAGTCCGAGTCGAGTCCGAGACCAGAGAGAGTTGAGTCCGAGTCGAGTCCGAGACCAGAGACGGTCGAGTCCGAGTCGAGTCCGAGACCAGAGAGAGTCGAGTCCGAGTCGAGTCCGAGACCAGAGAGAGTCGAGTCCGAGTCGACACCGAGACCAGAGACGGTCGAGTCCGAGTCGAGTCCGAGACCAAAGACGGTCAAAACCGAGTCGAGACCGAGACCAGAGACGGTCGAGTCCGAGTCGAGTCCGAGACCAGAGAGGGTCGAGTCCGAGTCGAGTCCGAGACCAGAGAGAGTCGAGTCCGAGTCGAGACCGAGACCAGAGACGGTCGAGTCCGAGTCGAGTCCGAGACCAGAGAGGGTTGATTACCTAATTTACTTTTATTTACTTAGAGAATGTTTTTTTTTTTTTTTACTGAATTTACTTAGAGTTTAAAAAATATGATCAGTTCAGGGTAAAAAGGCCACATAGTAGGTGGTGTTAAAAGTAATTTTATTACAATTTGTCATGCGCAGTTGCGCACTAGAAAATCACCAATCACTGGGCGTGTCAATCAATTTAAAGAAATATTTTATTAACATACATTAATAATCATGAAAAATATTTTTAATTGAACACGAGTGGACTCGGGAATAATTCCGAGTCCTAAAAAAAAAAAATGTTCGAGTACGAGTCAATTCCGAGTCCAAATGGACACGAGTCCATGACAAGACCAAGACCATTAAAATATGGTCTCGAGACCGAGTCCGAGACGAGTCCGAGTCTCGAGTACTACAACACTGCTAGAGCCGATAAACTGATGATGATGAGAGATGTTGAACACACTGTGGTTTGACTGTATGCCTCCAGCTGACCTCACTAATCATCTAGCCTTTACTAGTCGACGTTTATTGTCCTGAACTATAGCGTTTGACGAGCTGTCTCATCAATCTGACGAGATTTTAATTTTCGCGTGGCACTCGATGGGCCAGAAATCACATTTGCATATAAATATCGGCGAACTCTTTTGTTTGCTCCAAGAAAAGCGGGAGCCTTTTGTTTTCGGCTCTGAATTAATTGTTGCTGCTTTCCGGTCCTTTCTTTCAGGCTTGTGTCTCTGTAGAATATGAAATAATATAATTAAAACATATCTGGATTTCATTATGCGAGCGTGGCTGTGAGGAATAAACCCGCGGAGGCTCTTCCTGGGCTTTGTGAAACACATCGCATGCACTGAACACCCGCCGGAGACGAGTGTGTGTGTGTAACGTCCAGCTGATAGCAAACACACACGTTACTGCACACTTTAGCCGAGCACTGCCTCGCTGAACGAGGATTATGAATGATGTGTTTATTACGTATGCGTTCAGAATATGAATGTGTAGTTAATGATGACGGAAGAACTGAGCTCGGTGGAACTTACATTAGTCAATCAGTCAATGAGAATTAATTAGCAGCTTTAATTAGTAAATGCGTTCAGTAGAAGCCCCCATTGTGTGTTTCAGTGTGTGTGTGTGTGTGTGTCGTCTGCTTTCGAGACAACACAGCGTGTTTCATGTATTTATTCATCAGAACCTTCTCAAAATTATGTTTTAGACAACAGGAAATGATGTTATAAGCTGGAACAGGAAATGATGTTATGAACCAGAACAGGAAATGATGTTATAAGCTGGAAGAGGAAATGATGTTATTTACTGGAAGAGGAAATTATGTTATAAGTTGGAACAGGAAATGATGTTATAAACCGGAACAGGAAATGATGTTATAAGCTGGAAGAGGAAATTATGTTGTAAGTTGGAACAGGAAATGATGTTATACACCGGAACAGGAAATGATGTTATAAGCTGGAAGAGGAAATGATGTTATAAGCTGGAAGAGGAAATGATGTTATAAACTGGAACAGGAAATTATGTTATAAACCGGAACAGGAAATCATGTTATAAGTTGGAACAGGAAATGATGTTATAAACTGGAAGAGGAAATGATGTTATAAACTGGAAGAGGAAATGATGTTATAAGTTGGAACAGGAAATGATGTTATAAGCTGGAAGAGGAAATGATGTTATAAGCTGGAAGAGGAAATGATGTTATAAGCTGGAAGAGGAAATGATGTTATAAACTGGAACAGGAAATTATGTTATAAACCGGAACAGGAAATCATGTTATAAGTTGGAACAGGAAATGATGTTATAAACTGGAAGAGGAAATGATGTTATAAACTGGAAGAGGAAATGATGTTATAAGTTGGAACAGGAAATGATGTTATAAGCTGGAAGAGGAAATGATGTTATAAGCTGGAAGAGGAAATGATGTTATAAGCTGGAAGAGGAAATGATGTTATAAGCTGGAAGAGGAAATTATGTTATAAGTTGGAACAGGAAATGATGTTATAAACCGGAACAGGAAATGATGTTATAAGCTGGAAGAGGAAATGATGTTATAAGCTGGAAGAGGAAATGATGTTATAAGCTGGAACAGGAAATGATGTTATAAGCTGGAACAGGAAATGATGTTATAAACCGGAACAGGAAATGATGTTCAGTCCGGGTCAGTCCGTCAGCGGTCGTGGGCGGAGCTTGAGCAGTATGACATCATATTGGTCAGAAAATCCAAACGGCCTGATTACTGAGAGTGTTTAGGCTTTTTGAATATAAAAAAGGAGTGAATGAATTTTTGTGTCCACACACTCTCATGGTTTATCAGATGTTTAATTGCTTGTGTGTGTGTGTGTGTGTGTGTGTGAACACCTCTGTTAAACAGCTGCCAGTCACTCTCTCCACACACAGTATAAGTGTGTTCTGTGTGTGTTCAGTGTGTGTTGCTGTAAGGAGAGTGATAGGCCACGTCAGAGATGAGCAGTTAGAAACGGAGAGATTGACCTCTGACCTCTGACCTCACAGCAGGTAAACCGTTCCACCGGGCTGGAATGTTTAGTCTATTAGACATGAGAAGGTCACAGAAGTGCGAGTCCTCCTGCCTCCAGCGCAGCGCTGATGTCACACTCACGACTCAGTGCTGATTGGACGGGCCGTTGTCAAGGTTACAGTCATGTCCTGTGCTTTATGAGTGTGATGAGAGCTGAGGGTTTGTGTACACACACACACTCATCACAGTTCCTGAAGTGTGTTCAGATTGTGATTTGACAGCTTTGAATGGGTTGAGTACTTTGCATGGCTGGTTTCTATGGTAGCCGAGCATTTCTTCACGACACACACTTTATGCCAAACAGTAAACAAAAAATAATGACTTTCCATCTCTTACTCATGCAATATGTGAACACACACACACACACACACACACACACACACACACACTTCAGTATTATCCCTGCTAATAACTGCGAAACTGCATATTTTTTTTACTTTGAATATTTATAAAACTCATTGTTATACATATATATATATAATATATATGCACATAGTCAGATGTAGTTTTATTGAGTGTGTTTACATAAGAGGCTGCCGTTACAAGTACCATGTTACTGATTTTTGTGTGTGTGTGAGAGAGAGAGAGAGAGTGTGTGTGTGTGTGTGTGTGTGTGGTAAATCTGGTCACAGACGCTCGAGGCCACAGATCCATCAGAAACATGAGCTCTCTCACTACAGCTACATCCTCTGACCTCTGTGACCCCTGTGACCTCTGTGACCCCTGTGACCCGCGTGCAGAGCAGCATCTCATGTGGGGATTGATGCCCTTTACTGCGCATATATATAATTGTGTGTGTGTGTGTTGTGTTTGCTCAGCTGGTTATCCACCGGCTCTCCTTGAGATGCTTTATGAAGTGTCGGCCTCGTCTCATCTCACGGAGGATGCGCTTGGATCCCTCAGGCTCACACACACACACACACACACATACACACACACTGAGTTACAGTGGAGAGGGCCTTTCTGCTCAGTTAAACTCAAAGCTCATCTATGGACCGCTGATCTTACAGGTCACTTGTGGATTTCACTTCAACATTTATTTTATTACAGATACAAAGACCGTTAAAAAATAAAAAGGTGCATTTTTTACATTTATTCATTCCATGGTGGAAACTAGTTTACATAGTATATTGCGTATTCCCTGCAAAGTAAAGTGGATTCAGTCTGTAGTGTAACAGAGCACAAAACTCGCTTTCGGAAGAAAAACTACATTTATTTTCTCCACAGGGAAATAGATTTATGACCATAACTCCGAAACCTTTGCAGACTGACCTACTGTGAGCTGTGAGGTTGATATGATATTGATATTCAATGATATTGAAGCTGACAAACTACAAAATAATTGTATTTAACAGCGGAATGTCCGATGAAAAACTCCATTACCCATAATGCAGTACAGAAAATCCACCAATCAGAGAGTCAAAACAAGCAAATGTGCCAGGATTGTTCTTTAGCTCCGCCCACTCCCATGAAGCACTGCGAATGATGTAATCGACACTCTCATAATACAGTCCGCCTTAGTCAATCCTTTTAAAACTCATCTTTGATCACCAAAATCACATATTTAATTATTTTCATGCTTAAAATATCTTGACTGTAACTCGACACCCTTGCCTCATTTAGTATGTCTGGTTTATGAATATGCAAATGATGATCTCACGTTGATCTGACTGGTTTCAAGGTGGTTTGTGACGTCAGAAACAGCGATTTCAAAGCGTGTTTTTGAGACTGTCTTTGGTTCACTGCAGTTTTAAGGAGGAAATACTCAGCAATGCTGTCCACTACACACGGTGTGTGTTAAAGCAGATTAAACACACCACATACACACATAAACAACATTAAACGCTGGATTTACATCACATTTTTGTGTATATGTACATTTCCAGTACATAACGTATAAAATATAGTGTTTTTAAATATGTTAAGTATTTTTGTCTGATTCAAATCTTGTGATGTTTTGTCTCATCTCGTTGCTGGTTGGTTCAGTTTATGGCTTATTACACTTTAACCAAAACTTATTTTTAAATGGAATAAATGGGGAAAAAAAGCACTTCTGAGATCTACGCCGCTGAAGATCTGAGCGGGCATGATTGTAGTTCTTTTCCTACAAGATCACACTTGACCTCTGTGTGTATAAAGCCCTGTGTGCGGTGTGTTCTGATGTGTGCTGTGTTCCTGCTGTTACAGTGCAGTTTGACGGCGTGGAGAAGTCCCGGATGTCTCCCAGTAAAGATGTGAAGTGCCGTCCGCTCCAGCGCCAGTCCAGTAAGATGAGCTCTGGGGACCCGGGCCTGGGCGAGCGCATCGACCCCGAGCTGCCACTCGAGAGCCAGATGTGAGGATATATCCCCCATATCAAGGTTTATGAGTGTGATGAAGTGTCTCTCACACACACACACACGTCTGTCGTTCACAGCTGGTTCCACGGAGCGATCAGCCGGACCGACGCCGAGTCTCTGCTCAGGCTGTGTAAAGAGGCCAGTTACCTGGTGAGGAACAGCGAGACCAGCAAGAACGACTTCTCGCTCTCGCTCAAGTAAGAGACTCACCGTCACACACACACAAGTGCCGTGTGAATCATTTGCTCTGACATTTAGCACAGCCAGTGTGAGCCTGAGTGACCCTTGACCTTTAGAGCGGGCTCCTGTCGGACCTTGGCTGAGTTTAGCGTGTGATTCAACGGCAGAACGACTCAGACGTGATAAGGGCAGCGCACGCACAACAGGTTATAACACACACTATTCAGTCTAGGGCTGTCGATCTTCCTCTATAATACTATTCCAATTCCATTCCTTATTTTATGTAATATTAAATGCTCAAATTTATCCTATTATTAATATTTACGACATTACACATTCTTATGGATCGTCAATGCCACTATAGCCTGTGGTTGTTGTTACACGTTCGGCCCACTAGAGGGACATCTAACAGAACTACAATAAACATTTAGGGCTGTTTACACCTGGCCACTTCAGATCGGATAGCTCTGATTTATCAAAACGATTTTTTTTACACCTGCTCACATAAATGTGTTTTTGCAAAACAGATATAAATCCAATATAAAGCTGCATTTTATTGATCATCGGCTAATTTCGAAATCAGCAAAGGCAGCAATAAAGGAAGAGCGGCAACAGAACTGGTAAAGATCAGTTCATTCCTTTACTTTTAATGACGATGGTCGTGTTAAGCGTCTGCGACTTACTTTCACTTTGATTTGCGATAGATTGCGGCGCGTTGGCTTGATGAATAGGGGCTCAGATCTGAGGTGATGTGATCGTCATATCGCGTCGGAAGTTCCGGGAGTGTCCCGCATATCGATAGCGTCTCCCTGATGGCCGCAAATTAGTTAAAATCTCCCGGAATCCGCGCATAACATACATAGCGCGCGGCGTGTGCATGGCAGAGAGGGAGTGAACGTGACCGTGCCACGCGAAAGCTAGTCCCGCGCTCTCCTATTGTTAATAAGAAAGCGATAAGGGGGCGTTTACACCTGGTCACTTCGGAAGTATATATTTATTTTTAAATATATATAAAAGCAATATTCGAATAGTAACTTGAGCATTCGAATACTATTTTTTTTTATATTCGAATTATATTCGAATTTCGGAATTCGTTCCAACAGCCCTAATACAGTCACCAAATATCAACTCAACATACAGTATAAGACAATCAAAACTAAATCTAGCCTTGCTGTCATGAACGCATGAACTAACTGCTCCGCATTTGTCAATGAGAGCTACGGCGTAATTTAAATGTATTTTTAAGACGGAAAAATGCAGTTATACAGATACTAGACACATGACTTTCAAATGAGAGATTGGTATCAAAGAGCACACCCAGGTTCATAACCGACGACAAAGACTTATCAGAGTTATTAAAGATGTCTTTAATAACTTTCTGGGCCGGTCAGTTTCAATCCCTTTGGAGTCTATGGAGGAGTGATCCAGCTCTCAGATTTAATCAAGAATATCTTCATTTGTGTCCTGAAGATGAACGACACTCTTACGGAGAACAACATGAGTGAGAGTAATCACTGACAGAGTTTACATTTTAGGATGAAGTATCCCATAGACATATACACTAGACGTCACCTTGGCTACGGCAGTTCATTGGAACGAATGCGTCCATAGAGCCGCCATCTTGAAACAGGGGAGCCCCTTTACTTTAATGCATCAGCGTCAATGTAGTAGACACAGGTCTAACGCAAATAAAATCACCATAAATCATCATGAATGCGCTTTTTCTTGTTTTTTGGGTTTGTTCCAACGGTCAGACATGTATTTATCATTGATTCCAGAAAGAAATTTTTTTTTTTTTTTTTTTTAAACATTCTTCCTAGTTCAGATTTCATCCGTGAACATCATACGCTGTACAAAAGTCCGCCACCATCAATGAATTCGATGTAAAGGCAGAGATAGCAGCGTTACCTAGCTACTTCCTATGACAAGACGCCTGTTCCAAGATGGCGGCGGTTTTGACGCATGCTTAGAGCCCCAAGGTGAGGTCTAGTGTATATGTCTATGGAAGTATCCCTTTAAGACAAAAAGTCCAGTCCAGCCGGGATGAAGCCACTGTAACGGCGCCGTAAGCTGGACTGAGGTCCGACTGACCTGGTCAGAAGAGCGTTTCTTTATCCGCCAGTAAATCACGGGCTCACACTGGGTCGTGTGTTGAGGAGCAGGTATAAATACAGAAGAAGAGAGAGCTGAGAGGTTTATTTCTCATGTGTGTGTGTGTGTGAGATGATTCCATCACTGGTGTTGTGCTGAACCAGACCTGACAGCATGTAGAAACCCGAGACTGCACACACACAGTCAGTCCGGAGAGACTCGTACATGCAAACGATCCGTGTCTGCGTCTGATGAAATATTAATGCACAATCTCAAACGCTCCTGCAATGCTGATGAGGATCTCAACTAGTTTATGAGGAAACCACCTCTGATGCTTTTATTAAACATTTGCTTTATTTGTTGATCTTCTAATAGTTCTAGCCTTGATGATGCTTTAAAGTGCATCTATTATGCTTTATCAGATATTATCTTTCATGTCTGTTAGTGAATGTAAAAGCTCTGCCATTTTTCAGAAGTTCAGATAAATTGAGTTTTTGTCTTCTGAACTGAAACGAGTCGTCGGTAATTCAATCGCACTTGATGCTGTAGGTTTGTACCTCATTTGCATAATGCCAGCCTGTGGTCCTGATTGGCTGAGCAGCGTCTCTTAGCTCCGCCCTCTAACACTGTAGTGTCTCTGAGACTGGAAGAGTTCGGCTCGTGTTGTTTTCTGAGATCGATACGGTAAAACACACGCCATCGTCACTGTTCGTATCACTGTGATCAAGAGCGGAGAGACCGATATGATAATGAGCGTTTGCTCTCTGACCAATCACAGCAGAGAGGCGGAGCTTAGAGAGCCTGAATCCTCGATGGAAGCGTTTCAGACACTGAGAGGAAAGAGCTGAATATTAGTGTGTGTTTGACCTTGAATGCATGTGAACCTGTTGGAGGAGACCTTTAAAACAAGTAGAACCCTTTAGCATAATAAAAGCACTTTAAAATGCTGTCTAGGTGTGCAGCTCAGAGCGATTGTCTAATCATATTTGTGGCTCCCAGCATAAGTGATATGAATCCAGTCTCATAAAGATCTTAAAAGGTAAAGAGGCTCTAGCGGTGACCGGCTTTATGGACGGAGACGGGCAGAAAACGGCCGAAGGGAGAGATATAAATCTCCTCTGAACGGAGGGAGAGTGAAAGTTTATGAATTAGCGGTGCGCTAATGTGCATCTTCACCAGGACCGCGAGCCGGAGAGGGAATGGAGAACGAAATGCACTCTTTGGGCCTGTAATTTAAACACACATTATAAAACCCAGCTCTCATCTGCAGTTTCTGCTCATCTCAGGTACAGTAAAACACCAGCAGGTCATCACAGACTTCCTTCATATCACACCAATCTGCTCCGGTTTAATTAACAGCGCAGCTTTCGCTCTCTATGTTAATGAAGGCTGTATTTCAAAGAAATGTTCCCGGTGAAATATATATACACTTACCTAAAGGATTATACTAATAATGTGTTTGACCCCCTTTGGTCTTCAGAACTGCCTTCATTCTACGTGGCATTGATTCAACAAAGCATTCTTTAGAAATGTTGGCCCATATTGATAGGATAGCATCTTGCAGTTGATGGAGATTTGTGGGATGAAGCTCCCTTTCCACCACATCCCAAAGATGCTCTATTGGGTTGAGATCTGGTGACTGTGGCGGCCATTTTACTACAGTCAACTCATTGACACGTTCAAGAAACCAAAATGATTCCAGCTTTGTGACATGGTGCATTATCCTGCTGGAAGTAGCCATCAGAGGATGGGGACATGGTGGCCATAAAGGGATGGACATGGTCAGAAACAATACTCAGGTAGGCCGTGGCATTTAAATGATGCCCAATTGGCACTAAGGGGCCTAAAGTGTGCCAAGAAAACATCCCCACACCATTACACCACCACCACCAGCCTGCACAGTGGGAACAAGGCATGATGATCCATGTTCTCATTCTGTTTACGCCAAATTCTGACTCAACAGAAATCGAGACTCATCAGACCAGGCAACATTTCTCCAGTCTTCAACTGTCCAGTTTTGGTGAGCTCTTGCAAATTGCCGCCTCTTTTTCGTATTTGTAGTGGAGATGAGTGGTACCCGGTGGGGTCTCCATCCGCCTCAAGGTTGTGTGTGTTGTCTGCATACCTCGGTTGTAACGAGTGGTTATTTCAGTCAAAGTGTCTCTTCTATCAGCTTGAATCAGTCGGCCCATTCTCCTCTGACCTCTCGCATCATCAAGGCATTTTCTTCCACAGGACTGACCCATACTGGATGTTTTTCCCTTCTCACTCCATTCTTTGTAAACCCTAGAAATGGTTGTGTGTGAAAATCCCAGTAACTGAGCAGATTGTGAAATACTCAGACACCAACAACCATTGCTTAAATACTCTTTCTTTCCCATTCTGACGTTCAGTTTGGAGTTCAGGAGATTGTCTTGACCAGGACCACACCCCTAAATGCATTGAAGACACTGCCATGTGATTGGTTGATTAGATAATTGCATTGATTAGAAATTGAACTGAGGTGAGTTTATATATATGTACAGTATTGTCTGAGATATTTTCTAAAATACAATATAGGCTACAAGTTACACATTTCTGCTGTTAACTCGGGGTGTTCGGGTCCAAAGGGCGGGATTCTTATTTAAAAAAAAAAAAAAAAAATCTCATGACTTTTTTTTTTACTTGTTTTTTTTTAATAATATTTTTTCTTTTCTTTTTTGATGTTTTGAGAAAATTTAAAAAAAAATAAATTATAATTAGTATTAATGCAATAATAATTTTTTAAAGCTGTATTTCATTTTAGAGTCAAGCCTAGGCCTCATAAAAGCTTTTTTTGAAATGAGATGGATGGGTGGACAAACTGAGCATTTTAAAAATGCAAAACACATGTATAATCTGAATTTTTTGGTGTGTTTGTGTATAAAAGTGTGTTTGTGTGTGTGTGGATGTGTCTGTTTTGCACTCTTGATGTTTTATAGATTCACCCCTTCACTGTTGTGTGCTTTTTTTCAAGATTGTGGCTGATTTGTAGATTGTACGCACAAAAAAAACCTCAGTATTTTCACATTTTTGCCAATTTCCCATTCACATTTTTCCATTCCCATTTGGACCCGAACACCCCAAGTGTGACTATTTTTTTTACAACCACTTAGACTATTCACATCCTGTCCCCAATTTTTTGGGGTCTTCAAATACCAAATATCAACAAAGTCACCAAATTTCGGACCATTCCGAGGAAGCTGTGATTAAAAAAAAAAAATTATTTAAATTCTTCGGGTCCATTTGGGCCGAACAACCCCAGAGGGTTAAACCATTTGAATTGAATGCACATGAATGTAAACACACACGTTTATTTCTTAAGCTGACGCCTGAATCATTTTTTGTGGTTTTCGACTGCATGTCAATAGTCCCTAACTTGTATTGAACCCAGAACAGGCTTTTTAAAGATGGCTTTCAAACAGTAACAATGGGCTCTATGCACGGCGTTATTTCCGGTGAAGCATTAGGGATGCTCGATAACTTCCGCCGATCATAGAGTCCAATGCAATACCGAGAATTTATATTGAATTTTATACTCCATGGTTATACTAATGAAACGTTAGTCACAAAAACAGATAAAACAGACACCCCTCGTTGTGTTTATGCTTCTTTTTAAAATTATATTAAATAAACATAACTATATATAAAATTACATCTAAACGTATGTACGTTTCGTTTCAAAGACGGGAGGACAGTAAATATTGAAGACTCTGCCATAATCCCGTTTTCTCCGGTTTTCCTCCGCTTTAATCTACACAACCGGAAATGGTCGAGCATCCTTACGTCAAATGCGGAACTTATGCGTGCATATAGCCCATTGAAAAGTGTAATCTCACGGTTCAGCGACTGACACGTATGCTGTTAATGAGCCGAACGCTAACAATAGCCCACACACACACACACACACACAGGACCGTGAATCGTATCATGAGCCGCAGTGAACCTTTCAGATCTATAAAGCGAGATGAATCGTTGGATTAAAGCGCAGGAATGATTAGGTATGCAGTGATAACGGCAGCGTTTACGGTGGTGATCTCGCTTTGTTCCGTCGCTCGTATGATAAGAGAAAATCAAATCCTTAAGAGGAAAAGAATAGGAATGTTTTCCAGGCGTCTCCTCGGGGCCGGTGAGGGATCGATGGGCTTTTAGATGCTTTTACTGCCTGTGTGTGTGTGTGTGCTCTCAGCGGTCCCAATCTTCCTCATGTCTCCTAATGATGATGAAGAGTCGGTAATGACAGGCAGCCAATCAGAGGAGAGGAGGAGATGATTTATATTTAATGACCGTAAAGATAATTGCTCTGATTGAGGGATATTCGCTTCCGTGTGGACTGTCAGACCTTGCCGCTCATTTGCATAAAGCTCTCAACTTTTGGATGATCTCACTTGCCATTCCCACAATGCATTGCTGGAGCCTGACGCCGAGACGGAGAAACTCGCGCAGGATCTGACATCACGGTTAGGCGTTTAGCATCGCCACGTTATCTTTCACTTTTCATCGGCCGGCTTTATAAATGCGATTAGGTGATCAGTGAGTCTGGACCGGCCTCGTTTAACTGGACTGCTTCTTTCTCCCAGTGATGAGGAAAGGGTTCGACACACACACACACACACACACACACTGCAGGTTCAGGTTAAGCAGCCGTCGCTTCAGTGACGGCGTTAATGAGATGCGAGAGTCATTAGACGAAGAGCGTCTGCTAAATGCCAACTTCCTCCAGTTCTCCATCCGCTCCGTTGCTGATTATTACAGATACTGCTGTCGGATACACGGATGTTGAGTGCAATTCACAATATATATAATAATGCAAAATATAATTACGATTAATTTGATTAAATGTAATAATTCATAAGTTATATACAGGATTTTTAAAATTTATTTTATCCTATGAAGGGGTTTATTCTGAGATAACACACAAACACACACTCTCTGGAGATCGATATTATTGTTGAATATTAAATGAGGTGTGTTTTTTTTGTTTGTTTTTTGCATGTGTATGAGGGTTTGTGTGTGTATATGTAGGTATGTATTTGTGTATGTGGATGCATGTATGTATGTATATACTGTATATGAATGTATGTCTATGTATATGTATGAATATATGGGTATGTGTGTATATATACATGCAGGTATGTGTGTATGAATATGTATGCACGTGTATGGGTCTATACGTGTAGGTAAGAGAGATATAGATGCATCTGTATTGCCATCTGTCCATTTTGTTTGTATATTTTTGTATACGTTGGCTCACTTTTCTCCTCTTGTATTATTATTTTGTTTGTTGGTATGTTCATTTGTTTGTTTGTTTGTTTGTTTTCTCTACTGTTATGTTTGTTTACTTGTACACATATTGATTCCTTAATAAAATGATAAAAAAATAAATAAATAAATAAATAAATGAGGTGTGTTTCTGTCTCACAGGAGCAGTCAAGGGTTCATGCACATGAAGCTGTCCCGGACCAAAGACAACAAGTACGTGTTGGGTCAGAACAGCTGTGTGTTCGACAGCGTTCCCGAGATCATCCACTTCTACTCCAGCCGGAAACTTCCCATCAAAGGAGCCGAACACATGTCTCTGCTGTACCCCGTGGCCATCCGGACTCTCTAGCGGATCTGCGGTCAGTGTTCGCGAGACCGTCGGTGAACTAAAGCGCGACTGACATCCCGAAGGCAAAGTTTCGTACGGAAGAAAACACTCTCAGCGCCTTCGCGGGATCCAGACCTGTGTCCTCTCCTTTTGCTCACATTCGTGGATCTTTAGTCTTAGACCTGCACACACACTTTACCGTCGGCATCTCCTCTGTACAGAAACGTCATAATCAACCGCTGGATGTTTATCGTTATGATTAAGTCCTGCGTGAATTATGGGTGTTACTTCTAAACAATCAGTGAAACACTCGCAATAATACACTTTTTAAAAACTGGGTTGACATTATTCTGCTCGCAAAAAATGTAAGTGTAAAAGCATCAATAAGGTACTTTTTCAACAGACCACGAATAAACCCAATTCGTGTTTTTTGTATTTATATATAATATACATCAAATTTAATTTTATGTAATATACTGTACATAAAAGCCCTTTTTTTCTTTTTTTTTTTACAAAATATACATAAAATGGCCCAAAAAAAAATGCTAAAAGATTTTCCTGTGAAAACAAACGAGATTATTTGATTATTTTAGCGGGATATCGGGAGAACAGACACATGTGGAGTGTATGATGTCATACTTTTACAGCAGAATGCAAAGGGAACATGGAAAATAATCATGATTTAACCCTTATGCTGCATTAGGGACATTTTTGGTCTTTTGCAGTTTAATTTCTTTGACCATTTTGGCTGTTTTAATGCAAATGGTATGAAATTTGGCAAAATTGTGACTTTTTGGATACATGTAAAAAATGTGATCCCATTTTGCAAAATATGTATAACACACACTGTGTAGATCAAATAGTAACACTCAGCACCATAAAGACCAAAAATGGCCCATTGAAACCCATTAAAAGGTTGTTTAAATCTGAGGCTGTCAGTAATACATGAAACATGATTTTTGCACAAACATCCTTTCATTTTGAAGCAAAAGCATTATATTTGCATTATATAGTGTATTCCACCAGATGACGTCACTACATATTTATTCCCTATGGGTGGAAATGCACCTTATTTTAGGCAATAGGCAATGTTTAATAGGTGGCCATTTTTGGTCTCTAACGCGCTAAGTGGGATTTTTTGCAAAGTGGGACTGTGATAATCCAAATCTAAAGTTTTCTCTTTGCATTTAGTTTATTGAAAATAATTGAATTTTTGTGTTTTTTCCTCTTATACAAATCGATGGTTTCGCCAACAAAACTGGTAATTAAAGGGTTAAAATCCTGAAATTGAATACATTTTTGGTAGTTATGATGAGGACTGATGCTGGTTAAAAGATTTAACTTGGTAAAAGTGGAAAATAATAATAATATATAATATTTTAGGCAATGTTTAATATGTGGCCATTTTTGGTCCTTAATGCACTCAACGGTGTTAAAAATCTAATGCAGCACAAGGGTTAATCAAGTTGCGTTATTCTCATGATTTCTGAAAATAAAAACTGTAAAATTGATGGACGGATCGGCTTTATTGGTTCGGAAACCTCAGGCTTTTTGAATGGAAGTGCCACCCATAATTCAAAGCGTGGATCTGGACGTGAACACACACACTGAATCCTGCTTTTCCTCGCCTAGACTCTCTGTGACGGTAGTGTTGTCTCGGTCGGGTCAAGCGTTGAACATGTCCAGATATGACTGGAATAGAGCGAGCGTTTCGAGAGGAACGGGTTCATCGGGCCGCGGATCGGGAATAACAGGACTCTGGAGGACAGGAGATGGATGGTGCCATTTAAGTGTACTTGGACCGGGCCGCTATGCAGATATAAAGTAGTACATTTGATTTACTGCCTGCAGTAGGTGTGTGTGTGTGTGTGTGTGTGAGAGAGAGTTTCTGAAGCATGAAAACGTAAAGATTCAAAAAGAGTCACTTTAGTTTAGGATGAGAATGAAATATGCCTGTATTGTCTACCTCAGAAAATCAATTTCATTGGTCCGTCCGCCGATCGATACGGTACAGCGGCGTCGCGGAGGTCGATCGGTCGGACTCGTCCCGTTCTGCCGTCTCAAATCTCCACCAGATTTTGCCTTTTGCTTTCTTCTTTGCTTGGTCGTTGATATGGAAAGTGTCGTTGCTTTAATGCCTTATACTGTACATGCATGGTTTAAAAAAAGAAAACAATTGAGAATGTCACGCCGACCTTCTGCTCTCAATGAATGTTTTGTGGCTGTAATTTATTATGGAGAAAAAAAATAATACTATTGCTGATGTGTGTGTGTGTGTGTGTGTGATGCGCATATAAACTGATACTCTGATTGGAAGACTGTTTGCCATGGAAACCGTTTAGAGCTCTTCAGCCAATCAGATGGCAGGTCTGCCTTGACCTTTCCTGTGACCTCTGGTTTCTCATTCTTGTTGCTGTTTTCCTCTCGGTCTCTCTGTTAATCCACGATATTTGGAGCGATAGTGGTACGGATGGAAAGCTTTATATTCATTCCTTGAGCTTGACTCTTATTGTGTTTTCGTTTTCTTTATCTTTTCCTCTCTGACACTTTTAGTGATATTTCTGTCCTTAAAGGGACGGTTCACCCCTGAAAATGAGAATTGTCATCATTGACTCACATTAATGTCATTATTAAAGGAGTAGTTCACTTTTTAAAAACCGTTTGCTGCTAATTTACTCTGATAATTTACTTCTATAATTATAATGTCTTTCTTTCTTCAGTCGAAAAGAAATTAAGGTTTTTGATGAAAACATTCCAGGATTTTCTCCATATAATGGACTTCAATGGGGTCCAAACGGTTCATGATCCAAATGAGAGTTTCAGTGCAAACTGTTCAAAGGGCTTTAAATGATTCCAGATGATGAATAAGGGTCTTATCAAGCGAAACGATCGGCCATTTCAAAAATAAATAACAAAGTTTAAGTTTTATAAGCTCAAATGGTCGCCTTGCTCTGTTCTGTGATGCGCGTTCGTGACTCTCCTGTTCGAACTCGTTCATCAAAATGAACAAATCTTTTTCCGAGTCAATTTGTTCGTTTCGTTCGTTGAATGAACCAAATGACTCGGAAAAAGATTTGTTCATTTTGATAAATGAGTTCAAACAGGAGAGTATAAATATATTATATTAATATAATTAATATAATTAGCTTATATAAAACTTCAACTTTATTTTAAAACTTTTATTTTTTAAATGACCGCTTGTTTCGCTTGATAAGACTGGAATCGCATTCATCGTCTGGAATCGTTTTAAGGCCTTTGAACAGTTTGCACTGAAACTGTCTTTTGGACCTTGAACCGTTTGGTTCCCATTGAAGTCCATTATATGGAGAACCAAAAACCAAAATCAAAAACCTTAATTTCTTTTCGACTGAAGAAAGAAAGACATGGACATCTTGGATGACATGGGGGTGAGTAAATTATCAGCAAAAGTTTTTTTCAAAAGTGAACTACTCCTTTAATGTCATTATTAAGTCCTCAATCTTGCATCTGCTACAGTGAATTTTGTCTCTAACATAGACAGTGTTTGGGGTCGGTACGATTTTTAATGTTTCTGAAAGAGTCTCTTCTGTTCAGCAAGGCTGCTTTTGTTTGATTAAAAATTTGAAACATTATTCCAGTGTAAATCATCTGTTTATATGTGAATATACAGTAAAGTGTGATTTATTCCTCTGAATGTTCATCATCATTACTCCAGTCTTCAGTGTCACATGATCCTTCAGAAATCACTCTAATATGAGGATCAAGAAACATTTATGATTATTATATATATTTTTTGATAAATAAAAAATTGAGCAGCATTTATTTATTTGTCGTTCAAAAAACAAAAACAAAATCGTACCGACCCCGAATGACATGACCTCAAAGCTATTGGACTAAAAGCCCCAAAAAATCAAGATGAAACACAAGAAGAAGAGAGAGAGATGTCTGAAATGAAGATGTGTAAACGACAGCAGCATTTAAATGTTTGAAATATCCCTCTGAAAGATTTCAACGATGTAAATCTGCATGAAAATCCGAGCTTTAAATTTCAGCATTTATTCCCGGACCCGATTCTCCATGACACTGACCCCGGATCAGTGCAAATATGAACCCAAACGTCTTGATAACGTCCCATTGTTAATCGTCGTTCTGTAACGATTCACACAAACCCTCGACAGCGGCTCGTCTCTTTTCCCAGGAGCTGAAGAAGCATCAGTGTGTGTGTGTGTGTGTGTGTGTGTGTGTGTGTGGAGAGAGTCATTACACTGACACACTCGCAGAGAACATGAATGTGTGTGTGAAAGAGTGAAAAGATGTGTGCATGACCCAGAAGATTGGATGATATTTCTGATTATAGTGTCTGGACATCTACGCCTCACACATGTTTATCACCAACGTGAAATCAACCAGTGGTGTTTATTTTAAAGGTGACGTATTTCGGCCTAGTTGTAATATAAATCTATGGTGTCCCCAGAACGTGTGTGTGAAATTCCTCCTCAAAATGCTAGTAAAATTGATCCCTTTAAGGTTGTGAGCAAAACACATCATTTTGTGTGTGTCCCTTTAAATGCAAATGAGAGTTAGCTCCGCCTCCGTCCAGAAGAGGGCGGAGTCTTCACACGATCTTCAGAGACTCCACAATAACACCACAGGCCGATCTCACCAGATGAAGGAATTAAGACCAAACGACACCAAACGACTCGATTGAAATGAATCAGAAAAGCAGTTCTGACTGAGAACGAATCTTTTTCTGTTCATTAAGACCGATTATTTTAACGTGTGGATTAGATGTGATCATATTTGAGGCTGCTTCATTTAAACTTTCTGAATATTCGGTGAACATTCGGTTTTAAAGTAACATTCTGTTCATTATATGGGATCAGAAGAGATCGGTTATGATTGACAGCTGAGGAAGAGTTATGGAATAAAACATCAGGAGATCGTGAAAGACTGAAGGATGAGGGAGAGAGAGAGAGAGAGAGAGAGAGAGAGAGAGAGAGAGAGAGAGAGTGTTAATGCAGTCAGTCAGAGTCATTTACACTTCACTCCGTCCCTGTGGAGGTGTGTGTGTGTGTGTGAGAGAGAGAGAGTTTGAGAGAGAATGTGCGCGCGCGTGTGTGTGTGTGTGTGTGTGTTTGCGTTGTTTTCCACAGGCTCCTGTGTGATGATTGTCTTCTGTACAGTTCCTCTCCTCCAGATGTATTTATAAATGTATTGTTTGGGGACTTTGAGATTCTGACAAATAAAGTTTATGTGTCTAAACCAGGTGTTCATTCCTGTCAGGTAATGCTCGTGTCACGGGACACACACACACACACACAACACTATTCTTTCTTTCTTTTGTTATTTTTTTGAACAAACACTTGACCTTCATTATGTCTTTTCAATATCAGAATGTTTAGGATTATATGTGACTGTTTTCAGTTGTCAGTTGACCTATGGCTAAGCCACGCCCTCAAGCGTGATGAGCCAATCACAGTGCGCAGCTATTAGAATGCCGAAGTTACGACGTCACTCTGTAGGCCAAAACGCGGAAGTGAGTTAGCATTTTAGCATTACGGTTCCCTCGCTCTAAAGCCTATGGGATTTTTGAATGGGTTTTTGCTAAATGGCCTGAAATAAGGTCTGTGGTGAATAAAACCTCTAAATATTTTCACGTTTTGATCTATGACACAGAACACACAGTTATAACCTGCTTGTGTTTTTTTTTCAACTTTATTGTGTCTGATTGTGTTTTTTAAAAAATCTTTATATAGGCTTCAAAATGTCTAAATTTTGGATTAACTTGTAAAGATTATCTTGCTAGACAAAACGTGTAAGGGTCACAACTCTTTGTTGAATCTTATTTTTTTGCGATTTTCCAAAAGTCTATGGGGAAAATGCATTGCGTTTCGACCGAGGGAACCCATGCGCCGCTAGCTTCCGAGTCGTCCTACAAAGTGACGTCATCACTTCGGCACTCGGACATTGTCTGCTTCCACATCCATTGAAATGTATTGCAGTTAGTCAGTTTTCATTTGTTTTTCTTGTTATTTTAAGTTTAAAATGGTCAAGCGGTGTGTATGGGGTACATGCAGCTCTGACACTAGGTTTCCGAGTGGCTGGGCTACGGTGTTTGTGTGTGTGTGTGTTTACCCTTTCCCAAACCACATCTCAACTGAGGTAAGTGTCTGCTCTGGATTAAGTTATGCAGTAGATTCTAAGTTAAGTCAACAACGCATTTGAACATTATCTTTAAAATCTGTAACGTAACATTAGACTAACATTAGAAAACGTTAACGTTAGCTTCTAGCTGCATTGTACATCAGCTTCATAAACGGATCTGACATATAAGACATTTACAAAAGTAATTGAGACTTTTAATTCTGACTTTTTTCTCATTGCATGAGAACGGACAGGATCGTGAGGTGAAGTGTGTGTGTGTGTGTGTGTGTGTGTGTGTGTGTGTGTGTGTGTGTGTGGGAGGACAAGCTGGTTTATCTCCATCCTCAACCATACAATCAAGAGGAACTTACACTTAATTAAAGGGTGAAGATGACATTTCAGTGATTTACTCCTCGTGTGTGTGTGTGTGTGTGTGTGTGACATGAATGACGTGACGAAGAGTAAAGGACATGTCCCGTGAGATATGGAAACATGATATTTGTGTTGTGAAAGATGTTTTCCTCCATTACCGGTTGTGTGTGTGTGTGTTTGTTCTAGTCAAGCCTGTACGGCTGGATTCAGCACAACAGTCACCAGTGACCCGTCATTAAACTTCATTCACTAGTAGACAGAGCCAGACACGAGTGTATACTTGTGGCTCCGTGTGTGTGTGTGTGTGTTTGGAGGTCGGGATGTTCTTGTGTCAATCAAGCTCTATCTAGCATTTCATCCCAGAATCCATAAATGAATTACACTTTACTATATTCACATAGAAAACAGCTGGTTTACATTGAAATTATTACTTTATTATTTTATTTATTTATTTTTTTTTTACAAAAAACTATTTTGATGTCATGTATTAACTATCCAGCCTGTCAGATGTTGATTTCGTTGACGCCGCAGATGTGTATTCGATTCGAGATAGCCTATGGGAACATTATTCCAAACAATGTCGAAGAATCTGGTGTGTCGAGACGTGTGATGTCATGAAAGCGGTCTCCATAGCAACTGCGCTGTCGTGTTTCCGGTCGTAAGTGGAAGTCGCCAGACGGGCCAGAGTTCAGCTTTGTGACATGGTGCATTATCCTGCTGGAAGTAGCCATCAGAGGATGGGGACATGGTGGCCATAAAGGGATGGACATGGTCAGAAACAATGCTCAGGTAGGCCGTGGCGTTTAAACCATGCCCAATTGGCACTAAGGGGCCTAAAGTGTGCCAAGAAAACATCCTCACACCATTACTATGTAACAGTATTAGCTGTTACTTTGGTATCATACTCACCACTAGGGGGCGCATGAGCGTTAGAAGCTCTTGTATTTTAAAGGGTAGTGGTGTAGAAGAAGTCAGTTTGTTTGGAAGAGGGAAGTGTGGTTTTATCCAACACACATTGGAGTCCTGATTGAGAAACTTTCTTTACAGTTCAATCATGTAAGTTTTGATTTATATATTATATTATAGATATCTTTTCTTTTTGTAGATGGACTCTTATACGTTCTTTTATATTTTGAGACTGTTGAATCCACATGTGTTGCTAAGGCTCAACTGAAATGGACATCAAATGGATTGATCTCACTGCATTACCATGTGGATTATCAAATACTGTAAGTACAAGACTGTGACTCTGTGGGCTATCTAGATTTTTTGTGGATTTCCTTGAACTACTGGAAGAGCACTTGAAGGTTTTTTTTTATTTATTTGGACTTCATCCTGAAAATTGACTATGCGACTTTTTGTAGTGATTCCATTAATTACTGAAAGAATCACTCAACTACAAGATTTAATTTGTAATTTTTCTTTCTATTGATTAAGTCTTTCTTTATAGACCATCTGGGTGGATACCGCTTTTATTTGTTGAACTGGTTTCATTTCAATTTATTTTCATATAAATGCATTGTTTATTTTTTTCTTTTTCCTAAATTGATATAACTGTATAAAAACGTAATTTCTGTCTTTATTATTTGTGGCTTTACACTGGGCAACATATTAAGATTTTGCAGCAATACGTTTTTGTTTATGAATACAAGTATTATATTATATTAATTTTAATGATCCAAAATCAATATTGATACTAAGTTGGTAGTTCAGATTTATGTGTCTGCACTTTTGGAGGAGTGTCATTTTTCACACTGAATTCCCTTAAATTGTCTCACAGCGCCACCTAGTGGACATATACTGCCGTCACCAGACAGGCCTACTCAAACACTCATTCACTCATGCAGTCTCACTTAAACTCAAATCACAATTTGATACAACTTTTTTTTATTATTATTTAAGTGAAAAGTAATAAAAAAAGAACAAGAAAAACTGGGCCGGTTACAGTCCCCCGGAGAAGATGATCTCGAGTGCCGACTGCAGGTCCCCGTTCGTGGCCGTTAGCGCTCGCAGGGCCAGACTCTCGTCCTGGATGCCCATATCCCTGAGCTGCTGCATCTGTGTCTGCCAGCGGCCCTGCAGCACACACACACACACAAATTTCTAAGTAATTATAGATAACATTAGCTTATTTTATAGCAAATGAACTGTGATAATGTGAGAAATGTTGATTTGACTGTGTGTATTTTTCTATATAGTGAAATGCGTCCCCAGGAGTGTGTTGTTCTGCCGTCACCTGGAGCGAGCTCACGCCAGACGCCTGTAGGGCTTGTTGAAGAGCCTGAGTGAGGAGACTGTTGCTGACCGGAGCGCCAGAGGACACGTCCTGCAGCACAGAGGAGAGAGAGCATTAGTGTGTGTGTGTGTGTGTGAGTGAGTGAGTGTGAGAGTGTGTCTGTGTCTGACCGGAGTGCTGGCCTCGGGGGTGCTGGCTAAAGCTAGGGCTGATGCTAGCTCGCTCTGAGTGATGGGACGAGGCCCGGTTGCTCCACTGGGACCCAGAGTCGTCGGTCTCGATGCTGCAAACGGTCTCTGATGTCTGGTTCGGTTTCCATGCTTTAAACAACATGCACAGATTTATTCGCACTATTATTATACAATATACTGTACATCAAAATACACCAATCATAAAAAAATGTCTATCGCTATAATACTAATTAAATTAAAATTCCTCTTTCTATTATATTACTATAATAATATTATCTTTATTATATTACTAATATTATTTAAAATTCTACTTACTACAGACCTAATAATAAAAAAGAATGACCATAATATGCATTTAAAAAAAAAAAAAACATTTGAACTATCTTAATATAAGAAAATCCCCTTAATTAAATATATTACTATACTAATAAGAAATCCCCATTACCAAAATATTACTGTAATAATACTACAAATTATCCTTCTAATAAAATTAGTGTAATTATAATAATATAAATTCTCCTTACTAAATTATCACTAATAAAAAATCAATAATTTTACTAGTAATAAAAATAACCATACTATAATATTACTGTAATATTTCAAATCAATCTTACTAAACTGTAATAAAAAATATTTTAACTATATTAATATAATAAAATCCCCTTACTTAAATATTACAATACTGATTAAAAAAAAAAATCCTCATTACCAAAATATTACCGTAATTATACTTAAAATTCTCCTTACTATAATTTTACTAGTAATACAAATGGCCTTACTATGGTAAAATATTTAATTCTCCTTAATATAATTGTACTAACAATAAAAAAAACTATGATAAATAAAATAATATACGATTTTATACAATGTGACTGTAGAGGGGGACAAAACGTACAGGCTGGAAATCCTCATCATCGTCTGACATGCCCTCGAACAGAAAACCTCCTGTCACACACACAAAACATGAAGAACAATGAGCAGACCATAACATTATCAGACGCAGTGAACATCATCAGACGCAGTGAACATCATCAGACGCGGTGAACATCGTCAGACGGAGTGAACATCAGACGCAGTGAACATCATCAGACGCGGTGAACATCATCAGACGCGGTGAACATCATCAGACGCGGTGAACATCATCAGACGCAGTGAACATCGCCAGAGGCAGTGAACATCATCAGACGCGGTGAACATCGTCAGACGGAGTGAACATCAGACGCAGTGAACATCATCAGACGCAGTGAACATCGCCAGAGGCAGTGAACATCATCAGACGCGGTGAACATCGTTAGACGGAGTGAACATCAGACGCAGTGAACATCATCAGACGCGGTGAACATCATCAGACGCAGTGAACATCATCAGACGCGGTGAACATCGCCAGACATGGTGAACATCATCAGACGCAGTAAACATCATCAGACGCAGTGAACATCATCAGACGCAGTGAACATCATCAGACGCAGTGAACATCATCAGACGCAGTGAACATCATCAGATGCAGTGAACATCGCCAGACGCAGTGATCATCAGACGCAGTGAACATCATCAGACGCAGTGAACATCATCAGAGGCAGTGAACATCGCCAGACATGGTAAACATCATCAGACGCAGTGAACATCATCAGACGCAGTGAACATCATCAGACGCAGTGAACATCATCAGAGGCAGTGAACATCATCAGACGCAGTGAACATCGTCAGACGCAGTGAACATCATCAGACGCGGTGAACATCGTCAGACGGAGTGAACATCAGACGCAGTGAACATCATCAGACGCAGTGAACATCGCCAGACGGAGTGATCATCAGACGCAGTGAACATCATCAGACGCGGTGAACATCGTCAGACGGAGTGAACATCAGACGCAGTGAACATCATCAGACGCAGTGAACATCGCCAGAGGCAGTGAACATCATCAGACGCGGTGAACATCGTTAGACGGAGTGAACATCAGACGCAGTGAACATCATCAGACGCGGTGAACATCATCAGACGCAGTGAACATCATCAGACGCGGTGAACATCGCCAGACATGGTGAACATCATCAGACGCAGTAAACATCATCAGACGCAGTGAACATCATCAGACGCAGTGAACATCATCAGACGCAGTGAACATCATCAGACGCAGTGAACATCATCAGATGCAGTGAACATCGCCAGACGCAGTGATCATCAGACGCAGTGAACATCATCAGACGCAGTGAACATCATCAGAGGCAGTGAACATCGCCAGACATGGTAAACATCATCAGACGCAGTGAACATCATCAGACGCAGTGAACATCATCAGACGCAGTGAACATCATCAGAGGCAGTGAACATCATCAGACGCAGTGAACATCGTCAGACGCAGTGAACATCATCAGACGCGGTGAACATCGTCAGACGGAGTGAACATCAGACGCAGTGAACATCATCAGACGCGGTGAACATCGCCAGACGGAGTGATCATCAGACGCAGTGAACATCATCAGACGCGGTGAACATCGTCAGACGGAGTGAACATCAGACGCAGTGAACATCATCAGACGCGGTGAACATCGCCAGACGCAGTGATCATCAGACGCAGTGAACATCATCAGACGCAGTGAACATCATCAGAGGCAGTGAACATCATCAGAGGCAGTGAACATCATCAGACGCAGTGATCATCAGACGCAGTGAACATCGCCAGACGCAGTGAACATCATCAGACGCAGTGAACATCGCCAGACATGGTGAACATCATCAGACGCAGTGAACATCATCAGACGCAGTGAACATCATCAGATGCAGTGAACATCATCAGACGCAGTGAACATCATAATTTAATCTATAAGCTGAAGTTCACCTGGCATTTCGCTGTAGGAACTGGCCGATGTGTTGCGAGACGAGCCGGACTGACTGGAGATGCTGCTGGTCACCGAGTGCAGGACCAGGACGATGGCGTTCACCAATGCCGGGTGAGAGCGGATCAACCTGGAGCACACACACACACACACACACACACACACACACACACAGGTGAAATCATGTTCACTGAAGCATGTGACTCCTAAAGCCCTATTTCAATGATCTAAGTTCATGGTCTTAAGACGCATATGAATCCACTTTTGCTGGATTAACGACGGGAAAAATGGTCGGTGCTCCCGGCGCAAGATCTAGAAGGGTCGTCTCTATTCTCTTAGGGTGCTTTCACACTGGCGGTTTAGTTCAGAACGAACCCGGACTGTGCTGCGATTTGCGTGAATGTGAAAGCAACACGGACTTTGCAATGACATAAGATGCAGAGTGTTTGCGTGCATTGTGGACCCGCCTCTAGGCTCATATTACTAACGCGCTCTTTAAATAACAATAAAAATAATGCGTCATTGACCAAAACCTGGTCTAAAGTCAGTCTATTTCAGTCCCTCATAATAGCAGCACCAACAGTGCAACGGCACACACACCTGGTTCTATGGGCCACAGAAGAACGCACAACGTGGAGCAGGACGTGAAAATGAAAACTGTCGAGATGAAACTAGCAAAACACACTTGCATTGTAACAAATGCATTTCCCCGGCGTATGATCGATACGATAGAGTGTATGACAGAGCCCTTTGTGTGGAGGAAACTCACGTGTCCAGCAGGTTCGGGTCTGTGAACTGAACGAACAGATCTTTATCCTGGAGCACACCTGCAAAACGAAGGAGCTGATGTGAGTCACATGATTCTCCCTCCATGAGCGTTAATGCGTTTCAAAGCCAACAAACCTAAAGCCACGGGATCTGAGCTGAGTCCAGGTGAGGCCGCGATAATCTGCTCCAGCGACTCTTTATTAGCCAGCATCTTATACACCTGAAAACACACCAGACAATAGATAATGATCAATTAGATGAATAGATGCACTTTTATGATGGACAGATGCACTTTTATGATGGATAGATGTACTTTTATGATGGATAGACGCACTTTTATGATGGATAGATGTACTTTTATGATGGATAGATGCACTTTTATGATGGATAGATGCACTTTTATGATGGATAGATGCACTTTTATGATGGATAGATGCACTTTTATGATGGATAGACGCACTTTTATGATGGATAGATGTACTTTTATGATGGATAGATGCACTTTTATGATGGATAGACGCACTTCTATGATGGATAGATGTACTTTTATGATGGATAGATGCACTTTTATGATGGATAGACGCACTTTTATGATGGATAGATGTACTTTTATGATGATAGATGCACTTTTATGATGAATAGATGCACTTTTATGATGGATAGACGCACTTTTATGATGGATAGATGCACTTTTATGATGGATAGACGCACTTTTATGATGGATAGATGCACTTTTATGATGGATAGACGCACTTTTATGATGGATAGATGTACTTTTATGATGATAGATGCACTTTTATGATGGATAGACGCACTTTTATGATGGATAGATGCACTTTTATGATGGATAGATGCACTTTTATGATGGATAGATGCACTTTTATGATGGATAGACGCACTTTTATGATGGATAGATGTACTTTTATGATGATAGATGCACTTTTATGATGATAGGTGTACTTTTATGATGGATAGACGCACTTTTATGATGGATAGATGCACTTTATGATGGATGGATGCACTTTTATGATGGATAGTTGCACTTTTATGACAGATAGATGCACTTTTATGGACTTCAAAACAGAAAACAGCCATTCACTGCCGTTGTAAAGCTTGTAAGAGCCAGTACATTTTTTAATTTTGATTGTATTCGTCTGAAAGAAGAATGTCATACACACGTAGGATGGCTTGAGGGTGAGTAACAATGAGTGAACTATCCCTTGAACTCAAAGCCGAAGTGTTGTAGTGTGTACCGACCGCTTCTCTGTACGCAGAGTTGGAGATCAGCCCGGCCTGAAGCATCCTGAACTCTCGAGCCGCAGCAGATCTGTTCACCGGCTCTGTGTGAGGAGGAACACGAGAAACATCAGCACTGATGAACCTCACAGATCCCGTAATCCCTCCCTCGAGGTCAGATCCTCACGCACCAGGCTTGACCTCCGGCTCCGGCCACGTCTTCTTGATGATGTGTAGTGTGGATCCAGACTTGATCCCGTAGGAGTCCAGCGTGAGATCGTCCTTGAGCACACAGCCACAGTGCACAAAGTCTGCAAAACAGCAGCAGGAACGCACAATACTCGTTACGTTTATACAGACCCGAATACCATTCACATATTCATTAATATTCATAATAGAGCAAAACGTCCAAGCATCATCATGTTATATTACCAAAGTCTTCATAGTAACCCAGAGGAAAATCTCAAGGGAACCAGTGGCGCAGTCCATTAATATTCTGAGTTTATCTTTTCTATTTTTATTTTGGTAAAAAATTGTCATTTTAATATAGATTTTTTTTAACATTACTATTTAGGTTTAATCTATTATTTTTAATAACAGTTAATAATGTTAGTGCTTCAACATTTATTTCAAGGCAACATTTCTATTTTTTTGTAAAAAAAAAAAAAAAAGATTTTATTTCAGCTTTATTTAAATTAATATTAGTGCTGGGCAAAGATTAATCATATTCAAAATAGAAATTTCTATTTACATAATATATGTGTTTATACTGTGTATGATTATTTTGCATAAATACACAAACATGCATGTATATATTTAAGAAAAATTTGTTATTGATATGAATATATTCATGCAAATATTTCTTAAATATATATGTCTGTATTTATATATACAAAATAATTACAGACAGTACACGCACATATATCGTTGCCCAGCATTAATTCATATACATGTTTTGAATAGTTTAAGTTATCGATAATAATAATAACCTTGACATTTAATCGCATCCACTGACCAGTTCATAAAACATGAAACATAAATAAACATAAGCATCAAGGCACTGCCAGAGTTTTTGAATGCAACTGAGAAAATATTCGGATTCAGGAGTTTACAAGCGCCTTCCTGATGGGATTATGATCTCTGACTGAAACTTCACTCAGACCGATCGAGCCGTTTAAGGCCTTTCAGTTGACCGAACCATCGGCCTGACCATAAATGGCTGAAGTGTGTGAATGTAGATTGACAGCGAATGAAAGGAAGTGTGTAATGTTCTGACCGATGAGCTCAGGCTCGGGCAGCGCGTCCGATAACTGCGCTGAGATCAGTTGTTTGAGCGTCGACACCTGGTATCCTCCGGGATGGACGTCTCCAGGCTCGGACTCCGGGAACTGGAACATGGCCTTGGGTTTGTCCCGCAGTTTCAGGGAGAGATGCCATGCTGAACCCTCCATATCCTTCAACACACAACAGACCATTAACTCTCGAACGCTTCAGGAGGAGCAGCTTTATCGTTCCAGACTCCAGATTATGACTTGAGTCTCGTGGACAGAAAACAGTGTTTATTGTGTTGCACTTTATCTAATATACTGGATACACTACCAGACAAAGGTTTTGGATCATTAAGATTTTTAATGTTTTAAGGCTGACCACCTGATTAAACACCATTTTATTCATAGAAAAATGGAATGATATGTAAAGAAAAATGCAAAATCTCCACATTAACAAATCTCCACATCAACAACAAAACCACCTGACTTTATCCAAAATCATTAGTGCGTATTTAATTTGATAATAATCACACCTTTACATATGTAAACATAACATTTTAGAAAACTTGTAAAACAAAACAATTAGCTTCATGTACTGTGGCTGATCAACTGGGTAACGTTAATGCGAACTATTATTGATGTTAATGAATCTCTGAAAGATGATGATGACAGCAGATCAACATCGACCACTTATTGATCTAAGACACAATACATTAACTTCGCATCACGGTGACATTTAATACGACAGGATTAATATCTAATATCTCACCAGTTTGATTGTGAACCCGTCGCACAACAGTGAGCCAGCGCTTTGTCAACAACTGGTAACCGGATGTGATGTCACACAGTTTCCCCTCAAAATAAAAGTCTTATATATCTTAACATATTTTATATTATGTCGTATAGTGCCTATGAAATTTATATGTATGAATTTAGACGCTTTCTGTCGTCATTTATATATTGATTTATAACGTAGGCATATATGTAATTTGATAATTATTTTAAAAAGGATTACATTAAAGCACTTTGGTTGAATTTTAATTCAAAGGAATTAAATAATTTAATATAATTAAATAATTTAGCACGTAAATATAAAGCTTTTTATTTTGCATGTTTTTCCCCCCTCTAATATGTTTAATTTGCAGTGATGTTTAAATTACAGTGATGTATAATCACTGCAATGAAGTGTTCAGTCTCCGCCCCCGTGTGGTTCTGAGAGGTAATGAAAGGGCGACGTTAGTCATTTTTATTTTTTAAATATTTTTTCCTGTTAATACTCAGTAAAACCAGCTGTGTGATTTGGAAATTTTTATTAATAATATATGCTATATAGGAGTGAAAGTGAAAGTATCTGAATAGTAACATCAGCCAGAGCAACATGTAGGCCTACCATTATTAATGCAATAGTGGTGTTCGGGAACTTTTGTGATTTATTGTCTGGGTTAGGATGAGATGTAGACGTGACTCTGCACAGCCTGATTTTTAGATCTGTCAAATTAAACTATTAATTTAAACCTGTCGCAGAAAAAATAAAGGTGCCTGCAGTATAATAAAAACCCCAATGAAAAAAACAAAACAAACAAAAAGAAACAAACAAGCAATTGGGAAAATATGCCACTTTGCATATATTTAATAATATTTTTAGGTAACACTTTATTTTACAGTGTCCTTGTTACATGTTACATGTAGTTAGTAATAACAGTAAATTAACCCTAACCCTGGCCTAAACCATAACCCTAAACCACAATTCTAACTCTATAGTAAATACATGCAGTTAATTATTATATTACATATTACAACTAATAATAATAATAACAATGGGCCTATATATATATATATATATATATATATATTACTAGGCACACTTATATAGTAAATATGAAATAGTAAGCATAATCAATTTTTGACTGTTATTATTATCAATGTTAGAATTGTAATAATAATAGTACAATAGTAATGTTACATCATGAGTAGACTTTGTGTTTTTTTATTTTTAATTTAATTTATTTTTTATTGCGTTATCCAGTAGGGTGACGTCATGAGACGGGAGCGAGCGCGAGAGTGATGTAGGAGTGGTTTCTCTCTCAGACACATTAAACCATCTCACAGAAACGCTATTTCACGAAGCTTTGCCTTAAATTCATAATCACAGCAGCTTCCAGGCGTTACCCACGCGTAAACACAGGAATGACAGAGAATAAAGTTCGTCTCGAGTCTCCTCGGATCTGCTAGGTCATTATCCACACAGCTGGATTAACGGAGCTTTGTCCTGGTCCAACTTCTCCTCGCTGGAATGGTAAGTTCATTAAAAATGTCTTTCAGAAGCAGATGCATGCTGGGCATTTGGGAGAAAATACGGCTCGGTTTATGCCGCATATGCCGAGTTTTATACGGTTTATACAGCATATGCAATGGAGAAAAAAATGAATGAAAGGAGTCAAAATGTAAGTTACATATAGTAGCCTACAGTGACGTCATGGTGCTTTAAAAACAATCGTGTTACTTTTATTTGTGCCATATTTCATAACTCACTTGTTGGTGGTTTGCTTTATTGAATCAAGGCCTTCAGCTTTTGTGTTTTTAAGATTTTAAGATCCTCTAAAATCCAAAAGTGAGTGTTGTTTGGCAAGGCCAGGTCTTTGTGTGTGAGTGTGTGTGTGTGTGTGAGTGTATGAAGCTCCTCCACCACACCCTGAGCTCTGGATCTGAGCTCTCACACACACTCATCTACTGAGATCTCCCTCAGACGTCCTGTAGATCTAGATCTCCCTCATCGTGTCTGGTGTAACGCTGCATCTGTAATACATCAGATCATGTGTGGGTTTACTACGCCGGGTCTAGACAAACTCTCAAACTTCTGAGACTGTGGGAATGAGATCAGCCTGTAATTTTTTACAAATTAAAAGTTAGCTCTTTGAACACCTGATATGAGCTCTCCGCCTCTAATTCGTTACTGTCCTGTTGTAATATATTGTAAGAGTCCATCATGAATTAAAGCAATGTTTCACCCAAAACTGAACATTATGTCATCATTTACTCACCCTAAAGTTTTTCCAAGCCTGTATGAGTTTCTTTCTACTGTTGATCACAAAAGAAGGTATTCCGAAGAACGTTTGTGACCAAACAGTTGTTGGACCCCATTGACTTCCATATGGGGAAAAATACTATGGGAGTCACTGGGGTCCAACAACTGTTTTTATGCAGGTTTGGAACAACTTGAGGGAGAGTTATCGAAGCTGGTTTCTGTCACAGAATAAAAAATATAAAAGTTAATTATAATTTTTTATCTCACAATTCTGACTTTTTTCTCTCACAATTGCTTGATATAAAGTCGCAATTGTGTTATAAAATCCGAATTGCGTGATATAAAGTCAAAATTGCGAGTTATTAAGTCCAAATTGTGTGATATAATGTCACAATTGCGAGTTATAAAGTCCAAATTAGGTGATATAAAGTTGCAATTGTGTTATAAAGTCCGAATTACGTGATATAAAGTCGCAATTGCGAGTTATAAAGTCAGAATTGCGTGATATAAAGTCGCAATTGCGTGATATAAAGTCCAAATTACGTGAAATAGTCGCAATTGTGATATAAAGTCCAAATTACGTGATATAAAGTCGCAATTGCAAGTTATAAATCAAATCTTTTAATTTATCACACAAATACCTACCAAACTAGGTCTGGCTCTCATCTCCGGCTAAAAGTCCCAAGGGCTCGGTCAGAATTTGGTAAAAGTGCTTTTTCTTTTTACGCCCCTTGGAGTTGGAATGATTTACAAAATGTTTTGAATCTAGATGCACTCCCAACTCTGACCTCCTTTAAACGTCTCTTGCACAATGTTTTAAAGGACAAGTGCAATTGTTTTTCTTAACTTGTTTTTATCCATGTTGTTTGTGATGTGTAAATTGTGGTCTTTTATTCTGTGATTTTGTGTATGAAACTTCTTGTGCTGCCGTCTTGACCAGGTCTCTCTGGAAGAAGAGATAGTAATATCTCAATGTGACTTTCCTGGTTAAAAATAAAGGAAATAATAAAGTCCGAATTGTGAGATATAATTGTAGTAAATTATTGTAAATAGTTTTTTCTCATAACAGTATGTTTATATCTCACACTTTGAGAAACTTTGAGAAATAATGTCAGAATCGCAAGATATAAAGATAAGAAGTCACAATTATCTTCTGAAAGATGTTTTATTGTGTGGCGGAAACAAGCGAGAGGACATGATGAGAGGAACGGTCCCTTTAAGACCTGATCAGCCCTCTCAGATTTGATCATTGTGTTTCTACAGTAAATAGTCATATTATACATGTAATACCTGGCGGCAGCTTGTCATTATGCGCTGAGCAAGTAATAATACTGGGAGAACAGCCGTGAAGATTAATGTGCTTGTTTAAACTTGATGCCAAGCGTCTGAACAGTTGATAAAGGAATTAAAGGGTTTGTTCAACCAAAAATGATCCCATGATATACTCGCCCTCAAGACATGTGTAAATGACTTTATTCTTTCATCATAAAAGTAATCAATATGTCTCCAGGGTTTATTAATAAAGGCCTTCTGATGCGTGAGTGTAAGAAAATTATCCAGATTTATAACTTTATAAACTATAATGACTGGCTAACGTCAGTGTCGAGTGACCTCTGACCCGACAGATCTGTCAACACTTCAATATACAGTACACTTTACAGTATGGTTAATTAGTAAACATATTTAATGAGCTAACAATGAGCAATGCATTTGTTACAGTATTAATTAATCTCTTTGTTTATGTTAGTTAATAAAAATCCAGCTGTTTGTTCATGTTAGTTCACACTGCAGTAGTTAACAAGTACAACCTTTGATTTTAATAATGCATTAGTAAATGCTGAAATTAATTTGAACTAAGATTAATAAATGCTGTAAAAGTATTGTTCATTGTTTATTCATATTCACCTTATTGTAAAGTGTTACCAAAACCTGTTTTTTTAATGTGATTTACTTCCAGTAAATCACATTAAACTGACTTTGCATGTCTGTTACATATTTAGCAATGTTATATTTTGTGTTAAAAATAAATAGTTTTGTAATTGGTTTTATTGATAATTATGGTTTTATTGTTAAATATTAATTTATTTTTTTCATAAATTGAGATGCATTGCCACAGTTTTAGTGGTAATAGTCTAAATGTGATAATATTAAAAGGTAGTATTTGCTCTTTCCCCCCCGAGTATTTCCGGCCGATGAACACAGTCTGAGGCGTCCTGAGATTCAGAGAAAGAGCGAAAGATCTCCGAGAATAAAGTTCCTGCGCTCTATAATGTGTGGAGTTTAGTCGGTTTTCCTCATGAGGAAGTTGCAGAGTCTGTCCGCATGTTTCCGGCTGATGTCAGGGCCAGTGTGTGTTCATGGTGAAGGGGTGACGTGTCTCGTATTACACACACTGAAGAGTTCAGTCCTCTGTTATACAGTCATATTCACACAGTTATATACTGTGGTATAATCGTGCTCAGATCCTGATGGTGTTACAGCAGACATGTGGATCGGCAGCTGTCCGTGTCCGTCAGTCTCTCAGATAGAAACTCAGCTTTATAAACTTATCCACACACACACTTCCTGTTTGGATGTGTCAGCACAGGATGGAAAAACCCTTTAAAGAAGTCTGACTTTAGTTTTCCAGTGAAGAGAAAAAAGGAAGAAAGAGGAAATGAGTAGAATGCAGAAATCATCTATCTATCTATCTATCTATCTATCTATCTATCTATCTGTCTGTCTGTCTGTCTGTCTGTCTGTCTGTCTGTCTGTCTGTCTGTCTGTCTGTCTGTCCATTCGTTTGTATGTATGTCTGTCTGTCTATCTATCTGTCTGTCTGTTTATCTATCTATCTATCTATCTATCTATCTATCTATCTATCTATCTATCTATCTATCTATCTGTCTGTCTGTCTGTCTGTCTGTCTGTCTGTCTGTCTGTCTGTCTGTCTGTCTGTCTGTCTGTCTGTCTGTCTGTCTGTCTGTATGTATGTCTGTCTGTCTGTCTATCTATCTGTCTGTTTATCTATCTATCTATCTGTCTGTCTGTCTGTCTGTCTGTCTATCTATCTATCTATCTATCTATCTGTCTGTCTATCTGTCTGTCTGTCTGTCTGTCTGTTTATCTATCTATCTATCTATCTATCTATCTATCTATCTATCTATCTATCTATCTATCTATCTATCTATCTATCTATCTATCTATCTATCTATCTATCTATCTATCTATCTATCTATCTATCTGTCTGTTTATCTATCTATCTATCTATCTATCTATCTATCTATCTATCTATCTATCTATCTATCTATCTATCTATCTATCTATCTATCTATCTATCTATCTATCTATCTATCTATCTATCTATCTATCTATCTGTCTGTTTATCTATCTATCTATCTATCTATCTATCTATCTATCTATCTATCTATCTATCTATCTATCTATCTATCTATCTATCTATCTATCTATCTATCTATCTATCTATCTATCTATCTATCTATCTATCTGTCTGTTTATCTATCTATCTATCTATCTATCTATCTATCTATCTATCTATCTATCTATCTATCTATCTATCTATCTATCTATCTATCTATCTATCTATCTATCTATCTATCTATCTATCTATCTATCTATCTATCTATCTATCTATCTATCTGTCTGTTTATCTATCTATCTATCTATCTATCTATCTATCTATCTATCTATCTATCTATCTATCTGTCTGTCTGTCTGTCTGTCTGTCTGTCTGTCTGTCTGTCTGTCTGTCTGTCTGTCTGTCTGTCTGTCTGTCTGTCTGTCTGTCTGTCTATCTATCTGTCTGTTTATCTATCTATCTATCTATCTATCTGTCTGTCTGTCTGTCTGTCTGTCTGTCTGTCTGTTTATCTGTCTGTCTGTCTGTCTGTCTGTATGTCTGTCTGTCTGTCTGTCTATCTATCTGTCTGTTTATCTATCTATCTGTCTGTCTGTCTGTCTGTCTATCTATCTATCTATCTATCTATCTGTCTGTCTATCTGTCTGTCTGTCTGTCTGTCTGTCTGTCTGTTTATCTATCTATCTATCTATCTATCTATCTATCTATCTATCTATCTATCTATCTATCTATCTATCTATCTATCTATCTATCTATCTATCTGTTTATCTATCTATCTATCTATCTATCTATCTATCTATCTATCTGTCTATCTGTCTGTCTGTCTGTCTGTCTGTCTGTCTGTCTGTCTGTCTGTCTGTCTGTCTGTCTGTGTTTCGTCTGCATGTTCACTGTATCGGAAAGGTCAGGATCCGGCCCATACATCATCAAACGTTGACCCTTTCACGCCGGCACATTGGGAGCGTCGGTTTATTAATATCTGCGGTTTAACAGCTGGTCATGTTCACTAGACATCTCTGAAGGTTTGGCCTGATCTCTCTGTTCACACACACACACACACACACAGGTCCAGGTTAATCAGTCTCTCTCTGTTTCCCCCCGCAGTGCCGTGATTGAAGGATCTGGCCCGCTGTTACACACACACGGACTGACACACACTCTGGGTCGGATCACACACACTCGCCTGGACGTCGTCATGTTGGCTCTCGTGTTGTTCGCTCTGCTGGCTGTCCGCTCTCACGGTGGGTGAAGCTTCTCTGATTAACCAAAGATCACAACCTGGAAACTGACTGTGCCAGGCCTGTACTAATGCCCTCTAACTAACTAACTAACACAGATCGAAATGAATAAACAGTGCAGGTGGACAGAATCATGGGAACACGACCATTCAACACTTTTTCATAATACTTTTATTCAGCGAGGCGGCATCAAATTGATCAAAAATAACAGTATACATTTATAATGTTGAAAATAATGAAGATGTTTTCAACATCAAATTTTTCTTGATCATCAGATCCTCATATTAGAGTGATTTCTGAAGGGTCATGTGACACTGAAGACTGGAGTAATGATGATGAGGATACAGAGGGTTAAATTACACTTTACTGTATATTCACATTGTAATAATAATTCACAAAATTACAGTTGACTTTGTACAAATAAATGCAGCCTTGGTGAGCAGAAGAGACTTTAAACATTAAATAATCTTACCATTAGTGTATCTATAATATGTATTATTCTTATTTCATATAGAAATAAATATAGTTTTATTGTAGAAATGATAATATCCAAAAAAACTAAATCAGAAAACCGGATGCGGAAGGAAAACAAGACACTAAACTGAGACACACACACACACCTGGAAACAGCAGTGAGGGAAGCTGACTCCAGAACAGAGACTTAGACTAAACATAAAAGTCCAAAATGATACACAAAACATTAGGTTATATATATCTAATATCAAGCATAACATTGATATGTTCTGAAATGTCCCATAAAACTGGTGAGGTATCTGTGAAATTGGCTTCATAAATGCACAGCATGAAAAAAAGATGGGATCTTTCCCAATTATATATATATATATAATTATATATATCCGGAGTTACATTTTGCATAAAGGGATTCCTGTGTAAGATTGGTTTCAAAATGAACTCGGTAATGTATTAGTATCTGCCTCTTTGGTAAAAAATGTAAAACTGCCCCTCTATGAAAACACACACACACACACACACACACACACACACACACACACACACTCACACACACTGCTGTGTAAAACGAAATATTATGTAGGAAGGTTTAAAAATCAAATCTGTGCATTTTTAGGTTATTCTCCATAGACCTGCAAACCTGGAGAGAAAAGAGAGGAAGACAGAGAAAAGGGTTTTTCCTTCTGACTCAGTGTGTGTGTTCATGTGTGTGTGTGTGTGTGTGTGTGTGTTCGGGTGTGGCGTCTGGAACTCAAGCCACAGTTATGCCTCTGTTTCATAGCTCACAGTTTAATCCTCGGTACAGAAGTGGATGGTGACGACAAGCTTTATTTCTCAGAGGATCCTCAAAATACGTAAGGAAGATCTAAAATACAATCCAAGAAGTTTCTCAACTTTTACCTTTCAGCAGAAGAGCGTAACTCAATATACAAGACATGAATTGGGTCCTAGGATGTATGAGCTCATATGCTTTCATATTCTCATTCCCAGTTTCTCCATTTGTCTGTTTCCAGCACACACAGTAGTTATAGCTGAAGGCCTGCGACCGGACGCGTGCTAAAGCTGCGGTTTAGAAAAGTTAAAAACTCTACAAAAATCACATTCCATTTTACAGGAAAATCTCAGAAAAACTAGACAAGTATTAATCACGATTAATCGCATCCGAAATAAAAGTTTGTGTTTACATAATATGTGTATAAGTATATCAGTACACCGTGACCTAACCACGCGATACGATTCCAGCCAATCAGAAGAGCGTGTGGGCGGAGTCTCTCTGCAATAAATAATAATAATTTTTCCCCCAAATCGTTCAGCTTTAGTGTTCAGCTTTAGCGTTCATCTTTTACGTTCAGGTTTAGCGTTCAGCTTTAGTGTTCTACTTTATCGTTCGGCTTTTGTGTTCGGCTTTATCGTTTGGCTTTAGCGTTCTGCTTTATCGTTTGGCTTTAGCGTTTAGCTTTATCGTTCAGCTTTAGCATTCTGCTTTAGCATTATTTTTTAGCGTTCTGCTTTAGCGTTTTGCTTTAGTGTTCAGCTTTAGCGTTTTGCTATAGCATGCAGATTTATCGTTCAGCTTTAGCATTCTGCTTTATTGTTGAGCTTTAGCATTCTGCTTTATCGTTCAGCTTTAGCGTTCTGCTTTAGCATTCTGCTTTATTGTTGAGCTTTAGCATTCTGCTTTATCGTTCAGCTTTAGCGTTCTGCTTTAGCATTCTGCTTTATTGTTGAGCTTTAGCATTCTGCTTTATCGTTCAGCTTTAGCGTTCTGCTTTAGCATTATTTTTTAGCTTTCAGCTTTAGCGTTCTGCTTTATAACGTAATTTTTTAGCGTTCTGTTTTAGTGTTTTGCTTTAGTGTTCAGCTTTAGCGTTCTGCTTTATAACGTAATTTTTTAGCGTTCTGCTTTAACGTTCTGCTTTAGTGTTCAGCTTTAGCGTTCTGCTTTAACGTTTTGCTTTAACGTTATTTTTTAGCTTTCAGCTTTAGCGTTCTGCTTTAACGTTTTGCTTTAACGTTATTTTTTAGCTTTCAGCTTTAGCGTTCTGCTTTAATGTTTTGCTTTAACGTTATTTTTTAGCTTTCAGCTTTCGCATTCTGCTTTAGCGTTTAGCTTTAGTGTTCAGCTTTAGCGTTCAGTATTAGCATTCAGCTTTAGCATTATTTTTTAGCGTTCAGCTTTAGCTTACTGCTTTAGCGTTCTGCTTTAGCATTCAGCTTTAACGCACATCCAGACTAGCGAGAGAGCAGCAATGATAGATGGATAGATGGATAGATAAACGGCTTTATCGTTCGGCTTTAGCGTTCTGCTTTAGCGTTATGCTTTAGCATTATTTTTTAGCGTTCAGCTTTAGCGTTCTGCTTTAGCGTTTAGCTTTAGCGCTCAGCTTTATCGTTTGGCTTTATCATTCAGCTTTAGCGTTCTGCTTTAGCGTTCTGCTTTAGCATTATTTTTTAGCGTTCTGCTTTAGCATTCTGCTTTATAGCATTATTTTTTAGCGTTCAGCTTTAGCGTTCTGCTTTAGCGTTCAGCTTTAGCGTTCTGCTTTAGCGTTCAGCTTTAACGCACATCCAGACTAGCGAGAAAGCAGCAATGAGCTTCAGAAAAGTTTGTCGAGCCTCTTTTCATCTGACAGATTACAGTCCTGAAGTGCAGCCAGTGACGTTTCTTTCAGGGTCAGCTAACTATAAACTGCTTTTATGTGTCCCCTTCCTCGTGATCGATTGCATCAGAAGGAACATTGGGGGATCATTGCAGTGGCAAATGTGTTAGTGCATCCTTTTGTTTTTCTAGTGTTGCTCACGGCAGTCGGGCCTGGTGTTGCTGGTGTTTCTGAAAAGCCAATACTCTCTCGCTGTTTATTTCAGTCTGTGTGTTATATCATTTAATATAAATAAATAAATATAGACTCTTAATATTTCTGTTTGAAATTTAATTTTATTATTGCAAAATAGGGTAAATTAATGTATATGAGTTATTTTCCTCTTATCAACAACAAAACCACACATGTATTTATTTGCCATAAGCAAGGCAATGGAAACGAATGAATTTAAGTCTTCATATTGTGATTACAGACAGAAAGGTAGCTTCAGACAGGTAGCATTATAATTTTTATTTTTATTTGATTGATTAATTATAGCTCTAAATATTTAACAGTCAGGCTCCAATCAAACATAATAATTCCAGTCTAATAAAAATAATAATTTTGTTATTAGTACAATAGTAATAATATAATTGTATTCCTTGTTGTGCTGTCTTTAGTTACGTTTTGAAAAGTCTCCGCTGACATCATCAATAGAATGTTCAACTGTCACAATGTAACAGACAGCGATGACATCATATGGATTTTACATTTATACAGAATTTAAACCAATAACCAGAAGACTGCATTTCCACCGCCAGTGTTTGCAGATCCAGTCGTCTTCTGCTTCATGATCCCATTTCCGCTTCGTCTGTTTCTCCACTTCATTGCATTTTGTAAAACTGTCATCTTTTTTATCTCCACACGGCGGATTCTGTGCCGCCCGTATCTCTGAAAGATGGATATTTATGAAATGATATTTACACAGTGAATGTCATTATGTTTTGACAATATCGGACCAATAAAGCCCTTTGAGCAGAACTTAATCTCATAGGAAGAGGGGAGAAAAGAGAGAGAGAGAGAGAGAGAGAGAGCAGAGGTGTTATTATGTTTCAACAATACACTGACACGCCCGACTCATAAATCTTATTCAAATGGAAATCAATCTCTCACATTCAGTGTGTGACGGAGAAAGCCAGAGCAATAAGGGCCGCCCAACTATTCATTTTTATTTATGACATTATTTTAATAAATAAAATACACTTTGTTGCATAAAACGATAAGCGTGTCTCAACAAATGTATAATTTTTTTTTATTTCAAACTAAATATTGGTGAGTCCAGAAAATTAATGTAAATATACATAATTGTGGACATAAATTTTAAATACACTAGTCTAGTGTACACACAACATTTAACCCAACAGCCTGGTTATTATAGTAATTACCCAACGTGACCCAAATATGTGTAACCCAACGGTTGGGTTAAAAACATTTGTTAAGGCCAATTTATACTTCTGCGTAGGGTGCGTGCAGTAGGTACGGCGTAGCATACGCACAGACGCGTCCCATACCGCGTACCCTTCGCCGTCGCCTGACGCGCACCTCCTCAAAAATGTAAGTACACGTCGCGACGACGCGGACCGCAAGATCGGTGATTGGTTGGCTTGGTAGCATCGCATTTCCTCCTAAGCATTTCCGCACGTACCTTCTCACGCATTTCCACCACTGTCTATGATTTCCACAAGTTTCATCTCCTCCGAAGTCTTCTCTCATTTCTGCCTTTCAGTTTTAGTAATTTCACTAAAGTGAACTGTTTTTCCACCTTAATAAGCTCCAATTCCAACATGATCAGCTCTCTTTCACTCGTAGTAACCTAGCCGCGAGGAATCTAAACACAGTGGAACATTAAAACTCTCCGCCGCCAACTAGCGTTTCGGAGCAGTACTGCAGAGC